ACCAGAGAATAGAAAATTAGGAAAGAGAAAATAGAGCAAGAATGATAGAAGAATATACAGAGAAAAAGAACAAAACAATCAACCAACCAAAAAACTCCACACAAACAAAACAAAAAATGACAAAAAATGAAGGGTAGAGGAGTAAAAGGAATATGTAGGTGCAGAGCTAAAAATAAAGAAAAATAATAATAAATAATTAGGTGAATAGGGAAGGAAAATAGTTTAAAATAAAGAAAGAAGAAAAGAAAGAAAGATTTATTGAAAAGGAAAATAGAGGAGAAAGCAGATAGACCCAAAATAAGAAAAGTAGAAAAGATGAGATATGAGGATAAAAGGAAAAGAGAGAAAGAAAGAAAAAAATAAGGTTGTGTAGGAAAAGGGAATATGAAAATTAGCTACATGAATAAAACAAGAGAGACTAGAGCAATAACAAATCAATAAAGCAGACAGATAAAGAAGAATAAAAAGGGGGGAAGGAAAGAGAAGAAATTGAAAAAAGAAAAAAGAAAATAAAAAAGGAGGAGGAAAAGGTGAAGTGGCATTCATTTCAGCCAGCCAAGTTTAGTGGCCCAGAGGAGCTCCATTTGGATCCTACTCTTCCGATGACTGTGGCTGGCTGTTTTGTCTGCCAATTGTGGGTTTTCCCCTGGGATATTTTAGGTGCTAAAACCTATCAGAAACTGTCCTCCTTTGGCTTTCAGCAACCTGCTCAAAGCTCCAAGTGAGCCACAGATTGTGTCTGTCTCCACAGGACGTGGCTGCAAGCAGGAGGGCCCCATCTGCCCTCTAAAACTGGTTTGTTAGCGTGTGGAGCCCAGGGCGGGGTTGGTAAACTTCCTCTGGTTCTCCAGATTTCACCTCTACTTGCCTTTGCCTGTTAGCCAGCTGTCAATCTTAATCACTCAAAGTCTGTCTCTGAAAGGACTTTAGGCGGGGGAGGTGCTGCTCAGATTTCAGGGAGTGTGGTTAGTGTGTTTCCTGGTCCCAGGGCTGCTCCTCTGCAAATGGCCCAAAAGATCACTCTGCCGTGGGCTGGGCAGAGATCCTTGTATGCAAACCAGTGGGATTGGCTGCAAACCTGGACTTTCTATCAGCTCTCCCATGAGGGGAAAATACCAGACTAGACTGGTGCCCCGGACAGTGGGGCAGACAGGCCCTCCCCATCCAGTCATTGAGGGCTCCTGAGACTGTTCAAACCCATAGGCTTGGCCTCTGCTTTTGTTTCCACTGAAAAAGTCAGAATTCAGGGTGTGGTATGCAGGGGTCCTGAGAGTGGAGCAGGCTATATTACCTAGGGCAGGGTTTTTTATTTTTTATTTTTTTCTTTACCTTCCCCGTGGCTCCTCTAAGGAAAAAATGGTCCTTTCAGTTTGGACACTTGTGAATGACCAAATGCAGGATTCCTGGCATTTCCACATCTCCCTGCATTGCTTCCCACACCAGCCTCTCTTTAGGCACCTCAAACCCATGCCTCCCTCCCTGCACCAAAGCCTCAGGTGAGTAGTTGGAAACGAGAACTCCTGTGCTCCGGGTTTAGAAAAAACAAAACACAAAACTGTGGTTTTTCTCTCCCACTGGCTCTGGTTTGCTGGCTCCAGACTCTGCTGCTGCTGTCAGCAGCCCTGCCGCCTTTCACATGTATGTTATGTGGGCCTTGGGTCTGGGCTCTGCTGCTCCGGGCTCTGGGCCTCTATCTTTTGAGGGAACAGACCCTCCCGTAGCCCAGCACCCCCTCCTCTCTCAGCCCTCCAGTCTGCTGCCCTTGGGAGCTGGGTCAGCTCCTCTCAAGACCTCGTCTTTCCTACCGGTCTCCAGGTATTATACTTTCTGCCCTTCTCCCTCCTCAGCTGGATTTGATTGGTAATTCCAGGTGAATGTTCTCCAATTTAATTGTATTTCTATTATAGTTTGGCCCTGGGATGAGGTGCATGACGAGTCTGCCTATTTGGTCACCATTTCCTCCTCTCTGTTGTTGTTTTTTGTGTGTTTTGCTTTTATGGGTTGCTGTGCTCAAGCATGAATGGACTGTTATGAATTATCCTACCTAATTATGGTTTCTATACATTCAGTGAGCCTCACAGCAACACTGAGTTCTCCCTTGGTTGCCTTGAACTAAAACCTTAATTCCCTGTTCTGAGTCACTGGGCAGTCCATAGGCTCAACCCCATGACTCTCCTAAAAGGAACAATCAGGCTGTATTGAGCATGTCCACAAACATTAGAAATTCTTTTGCTATTATAAACTTTCTCTTACCTTCAGATGACTTTTGAAACTAAATTTAACTATCTGTAGAAAAGACAGAAAAGATAACATTTTTAAAAAATATATTATTTTCAAGAGGGAGCCACATAATGATTTCCATTAGCACTAAAGAAGGGGACTCAATTTGATGAGCTCCTCCAGATCAGGGTGAGGCAAGTCCCCAAATGCACACTCCAAAAGCGAAATGACAACTTCAAAAATGGCAGGAGTAGGTACATATGGAAAAATAAAATTTCCCATAAATGCTCATTAAGGATTCCCAGGAGGAATGAGGAATCATAAAGTAACTAGCTACACAAATAAAAAGGAAGTTTGTATTTGACCCAGACCCCCTGATGTTACACTTCAATGGGCACAGAGAACATCTGCTGCTCTCATCCCAAATGTCTCAACGTTAGTGCTGCAATGATTTATTTTCAGGAAAAAAAAATACCCTAAATCAAAATGCTGTTTTCATGAGGTCTTTCAGAAAACATTAAGAAGGTAGGGGGCAGGATTGATGCTCTCCTGAGAGTTCCCGGTGCAGGCACAGGCTGCCCATGGGCGAGGCACCAAATCAGAGATATTGTCAGTCCTGGGAGCTGCCCCGTGGATAACGGCACAGGCAGGCTGGAAAGAAGTAGATCCAGAGCTTTGCCTACTTCATAATTTTTCCGAGGACAATTCTTTAAGCTATTTTTTTTCTTCTGTATATAACCCTTTGGTATATTTTCTCAAAAAACCAATCAAGTGGATCATCCACATTAAAATGAACAGATAAACAAGCTGTTAACTTTAACCAAAGACATTTCTCATTTTATTAGGCAAAGAAATTCATAAAATTGTGGGCCTTCCCACTCAGTAACTATAGAGGAAGCACTGTTGGGGCTGTAAGGTGGGGAGGAACGCAGCCCTAAAATAATGGGAGCTCTGCCTAATTATGAGCAGGACCATAGGCAGGAGAAATGAAGACCCATGGACAGGGGGACCACTCATCCGGGGCAGGGTGACTGTTATGCTGGAGGGGCAAGAAAACCTCTAAATAGAGTTGGAAAGCCCTTCTCCCTTCTCCACCCTTCTTTGATGCTTTTAATTTGAAGAGAGCAATTGCTCCAGATTCCATATCCTATTAGCATGCAGTTTCAATAAGGCAGGCCATAGAATCGCCCTTCCCTAGACATTTTAAAGAAAAAGACAGACAAATATTTGCCTGGAACTCCTAGGAAACCTTTAAAGATCCCTTCCAGCCATATGATGCTATAACTCAAGTATTTAATAATGCTGGGGTGTATAACATCTACACTTTCTGACAGACTACAGGAAGCGTGAGTCCCCCAGGCCTTGGAGTAGTTGACACAAGTAAACGGGCAGGTGTGTGGAGCTGGTCCCCAAGGTCACACAAAGGTCTGGTGTTCTCGGACCCTGAATGCTCCAACCTGAGGCAGGTCACCTAAAAAATCCCCAGTGTTCCCACCTGTAAAATCAGAATTCCTCTATCTTCTTTGAGCAATTATCTTGAGGATTTATTCAAAATCAGCAAAGGAACAAGATTGATTTCATGCCCTTTTCAGAGCCATGAGGATTTTGTAATTCCTCTCTGGGTTGGAGAACCACGATCTGGAGGGGAATCGGAGAGGTGATCTAGTGCAGAGCCCTCCTTCGGGGAGATGAAGCCCAAAGCTGCAGAGGACCAGCCTGAAGCCCTGGGGGGCTGGAAGCTCTTTCCTGTTTTATGTGCAGCCCCTGGTCTCATTGCTTGTGTTCATGGGATTATTGTTAACACATTCTTCAAAAGACTAAACAAGGGATAAACAGGAGGGAATCCTCACTAACCCACAAATAAGCGGCATTTAATAACAGCACACTGCAATCAGGAGAGAGGAGGAAATGCTCTGTTTTCATTGTCCTGCTTAGATTCTCTGTATAATCATGCAGGCCAAATGGGGTCAGGTGGTTGGCTGACCCTTCACTTTTTGGACATCATTAAGGAGCAGACATGTTTTCTATCCTCCAGCCACCTGTACAGTAACTACAGTGCATTGGGGGCCTCTGCATGGGATGTTCCACCCAGAGAGGAATGGGATGAACTTGATTAAGTGCAGGAGGCTGTTTGCTACTTGCTGTGGGGTACATATGGCCCATACTCAGCTCATGTTCTCAGCACTGCTCCTCACAGCAGGCTGGCAAGAGAATTTTCCATAAAATCTGCCTTCACATAAGGAGAAGACACTCTGGTCTCTCTGTAGCTGTGACCAGGCAATGCCCTGGTCACAGCTACAGAGAGAATGGCAGCTGCAAATCATTGCTTTTCCCTGATCTTAAATGCCTGAGGAGAGAGCGTTGCAGCACCTCTGAAAGAGGGGAGATGCCACCGTGGGAATTGTAGAGAGTAGATGTTATGAACACAGCCATTCGGTGGCAGAGGATGACAGAAAGAAAAGCATGTGCAGCAGATGCATGAGTGGAAGGTAGCAGATTATCAGTCAGGGATGATATCTTGCCTGGATGACAGAAAGCTTGGCCAACCCACAGCTGGCCAAAAGAAAACTGACTGTCAGGACAGGGCATCCAAACTGTACAAGAGCAAGACTACAAAGTTCAAACATGCTGGTGGTTTCACCTAGATGGCAACCTCATAGAGGCTGGCAGAGTTTTTAGGGGGGGGGGTGGTGACTGTCAGGCTCAAGCACCACCCAAGCCTTCATGCCCAGCTGGCATCTGTCCACGGGAAAGGACAGCTGGTTAATCATGCCTCTGACCTGTGCAATGGCATAATCCGAGTTGTTGGTTGCCTGCATGCCTTCATTCCCACTGATTCCCACACCCACGTGGGCTGTCTGGATCATCCCAACATCATTGGCACCGTCCCCGATGGCGAGGGTGATGGCCTTCACCCGCTTCTTGACCACGTCTACTACCTCAGATTTCTGCAGAGGAGACACTCTGTAAGAGAAGAAAGAGGAATTATGACTGTATTGATCTTTCCAGAGGAAACAGCTGTAATCTTCATTTAGCTGCATTAAAAGGGCAGTCATCGGACAACTTCCAAATTCAATACATACGTTTTATGTTCATGTGCAAAAGAGCTTTCAGAAAACAGTAGCTTGTGGCTTTCAAGTATTTGCCAACTTCACAATGAAACACACAACTCAAAACTAACTTAAAACACAGCCCACCTGTAATCACCCTGCTCAGTGGGAGCCCCCGTGCAAACACCCCCGGGGCACATGTGCCCTCCCGAGGGACACAGGCAGTGAAGCTGGTCACACAGGCCTTGGGAAATGTATTCCCAGCAAATCAGAAAACTAGCACAGACTCCATTTTTGCTTTGGTGAACATCATTCACAACCTAGAGCTGGCAAGAGAATTTTCCATAAAATCTGCTTTCACAGAAGGGGAAGTAAGTTGGCAGAGCTAGAGAAGTGCAGAAAAAGGACGCAAGGAAGAAGAAAGAAGAAAGACTTCTCCATCTCCACCCCAGAGACAGAGACAGCATTGAAGGGCAGCCAAGGCAGAGGATTCAGAAGGAGACTCCTGGGGGTAGACGGTGTACTGAGGCTGAAGTGCAGCAGCAGAGCCCGAAGGGTGGACAGAGCATCCTCTGCCTGACAGGGGTTGTTTCCACAAGGAATCAGGCAGGTGGCCTTTTGTTCATAAGCCCTCAAGTCCTCTGGGAAGGAAACCTAATATAAATTTATGGTGTCTAAAGCACAGCAACATTGATTATATGAAGTGTTTTTTCCCAGTGTAAGATCAGACAATGAGGACCTCAGGACTGACTTATTTTTATTGTAAATTCAGAATTGATAAGCTGACTTGGGAAATTTACTGAATCATTACCACCCCCCCCCCCCCCCCCCCACACACACACACATACATACACACACAGACGAGTAAAAGACCTGTCTGGGTTTCCCAGAGGTACTGGCTGTGGCCACATGCGGATTGGACTTAAAAACTAGAATAGACACTCACAGACCTTCCCAGTAGAACTATAAGTTCTCATATGATCAACCCACAAAAATGCTTGTTTCCAAAGAAAACTTAAATTTTACCAACTCTGGAAAGAAATGTGTTTGGTGAGACAGCAAGCTGAATTTAAAGCACAGGTACTTTGAAGCCATTGCTCAGTTACAAAGAAATAAAAATTAGCAAGTTAGAAAAGGGGCTTTAGAAGCCACGTTGTCTGATCTAATTGATACCTCTTTTGGGATTTTCAGAGGGATTTTCAATAATAGGACTTCACAGTCTCCTGGGGTAGTTGCAACCACGAAAAATTATTATTACTTTTGTTGTTGTTGTTGTTGATAAGCATTAAAAAGTACTAATTCTGCCCTCTGGGTCAGACTAGAACAAATATAACTTTTTTTCAAATGTTAGGGAGGTTGAAATATAAAGATACATCATATCTTTCCTCCCACAGTTCAGTTTCTTCTGGCTAACCAATCTCAGGTCCTTTAACCCTTATTTAATAGGCATGCCTCAGAACTTAAAAAATAGCTCCCAAGTGTGAGCTTCTAGACAGCTGAGAGCAGAACAGAGCAGTCACCAGCTCCCTGGTAGCAGATGCTAGATTGACCTTAATGTAGCTTAAAATGAAATGAAAGATTTACTATTGTTATCATTGAGCTTCCTGTCAACTAAACATACAAAATTTCGACACACAGGGATATAAGCTGTATCTATTCCCTCCAATTTTGAGCAACTGCCACTTAGAGCCGAAGTCTGATCTTTACATTCCTCTTTTTCATTAAATTTCTGATTGGCAGGATGGGAGGCACATCTCACAATTAGAATTTGCTATGCAAATGTGATTTCTCATTTTATTTTTGAACTCAAAAGAAGCAGAGATCAAATATAGTATGGAGAAAATGACTTAGGATTCAAAGTGGAAGAACTGTGCATGACCTTTTCCTGTGCCCCATATGAACTATGTCATCAGGGAAAGCCATTTTCATCAGTCCTTGTCTTTTCATCAATGAAATGGAGAAAAGAAGAACCATCACTTCATGAGACGATTGTGGTGTATTTATGTGAAACCATTCTGCTTCCTAAAAAGTGCAAAGCAAATGTTATCTCTTACCCCAACTGCAAAGCCTGGGTTCTTTGGGTGGGCGGGGCGGCGACACATCTGAGAAGTACGTGTCATCTGACCCAAGGTTACAAAACTGTGTGTGTGCAGGTGTCCTAGGGGGGAAATTGTACATTTTCAAGGCAAATACAGTAACATCTCTCAGGTAGTGGTTCAAAATAATAGCTCTAAGTAGCCCAGAGTCTCAACAATAGATCATGCTACATTGCTCTGCATGATATATCATTGTGAAGCCGAGTTTTCATGGTTGCTATGATAAAGAGCAAATACACTGTGAAAAAAATCAGTGTGCAACAGGAAATGAGGGAAGCAGCGTCCACCTTTACGCCAAGGTTTGAGCAGTTGTACAGTGCTCATCAAGTGTACCCTATCATATGATTGGTAAGTGATTATGATCATTTGAGAATGAAAAAAAAGTATTATTCTTTCATTTATGTGCATTATTGTTTCAAATGTCTGCTAAATTTTTAGGATATATTGGGGTAAATACTCCTTGAATTGTTTGATCTTGCCTGCTTAATAGTTAGATACTGGTCAGTCTTACTTTTGGCTTAGGGGCTTTGCAAATGAATTATTGAGACATTGAGGTATTGTTAATCCAGAGAATCTGGGAACCTCTGCATTGACACTTGTCTCCATGGTTACAATAATTATGCATCAAGTACAATAATTCATCTATTGAAGTGGAGCTTCACCCAAAGGTGAATTCACTAAGTCTCCAAATCTTCTGCACCCATGAAGATATCACAAGAGACGATGGAACAGACCCTTTAACAGCACTGGGAGGCCTGAGTCTATGACTCCTTGAAACTTCATATGCCCCCCAAGTCATCAAGCAAGTTGTCCACTTTATCAGCAAACCTGAGAAAGTGGGCTGGAAAGAAAGGGAAGCTGGGGAGCAGCACAGCCCGCAGGCAGGAAGCTCAGCCACATGGACACTGTGCTGCGGGAGGCTCAAAGGGCAGTGATGGTGGAAGAGGGAAGGTGTTAAACAAATTCAAGGTTTTCTTTGAAGTTAAAGTTGTTGCTTTTATGTTAGGAGGTTTTGCAATAAGCCAACCAATACAAGATAAATAGCAAGTCAAATATACTCCCTATATTTTCCACTTTGGAATTTGGAGCTCAAGAAAGTTGAGGCAAGTCATGATTCTGATTACTTAAAATAAAATCTTTGAGAGTCCAACAGCAGCCTTTCCCCCACAAGAAATATAGAAAAAATCTGGCTGGGTATATAAACTAATTCATATCCCCGTGTTTTAGAAGCATGAGATTCTCATCAAGGATTTATTATGCCCCTAACTGCAATGCCTTAAGAAAACATAATTCTAGCACACACTAGGGGTTCACAACAGATGTCAAACAGCTAATTTCTACAGAACTGGATAGGCACCATTACGCTTCAGCCATACGTACTATTTTAGTGTGCCAAGTTACCACAAAGCACAAACTAGCTCATCTAAAATCTCAGTTTGTGATGTGGAATCACATGCCACACTTAATATGTATTTCCAGCATATAATACATCCAACCTAATAAAACAAGGATTCCCATCCATACCTGAGCCAAGCTGGGTCCTAGGATACTGCTATACCATATTTTGCTGAATTACATATAAAAATATAAATTCAAAGATCTTCAATAACTAGAGAGGTATTCTTCCCACTTTTCTTTTGGCTAACACATTAGATTCTAAAATAAAAAATAAGTCATTTTCTAATGGTATTTCAAAGTTAACACTGAAAGATAACCATTAGCAACTGCCTTCATAAGATTAATTAGCATGCATTAATTTATTTGATCTACAAAAGCCCTGGTCTCAGAGTGAGGTTTTAAATTCTGATTTTGCAATATCATTTGAATAAATTTAAGTCCTTTCTCTTCTCAGAACTCAGCTGCCCCATTTGTCAAAGAGGGGCTGGGCCTCCAATATTGATAGATGTAAACTGAGCTCACCTGGCCAGGGGCATGAAAGGAACTCTACTTAGGGGCACTTCAAGCACAGCCACAACTCTTACTCATTAACCAGATTTACCACATACTTTCATTAATTGGACTTCAAAGCATCTTTATTCTAAAAAGACAGTCCTCATGAATAAAAAAGAGCACTGAGTCTCAAATTCTAAGTGGGCATCGGAATCTTCTAGATAGAGAGATCATAAAACTAGATTCTGATTCAGGAAGGCCAGGTGAGTCCAGAGAATGTACATTTTAACAAGTTCTGAGTGATGCCCTGTTGCTTGTCATGGACCACTGAAGCAGCCAGCAATGGCCTGAACAAGAAGGCAAGTTCTCTCTTGTTGAAATGTTTTAATTGGCTAAGCTTACATTCCTAAAATACAGGATACTTGCAAAATTTTCACAGAGTGACATTTACAATTAATTAGCAGAAACACTGAATTTTGTCATCTCTTTCAAGCTTTGCATATGTAGGTTCTCCTTTGCTTTTAAACCCAAACTAGCAAGTACAAATTTAGGTTGGTATTTCATTTAAGAGAGTCTTCCAATCTGAGTATCTCACAGGAGAGTGAGAGGGTAAAATACTAAGCAGAATAAGATATATAAGAGTCCATATGTGTGTATTTTTAATGATGCAGAAATCAACATACATGATTTCATTTATGAAAGTATCGATCTTCCTGTTAACTGAAAGATAGTACCCTTATGAAAGAGATTTCCTTTGATTAAAAAAACATTAATATATTATACCACATTTCTTATAGCAGTCAGTGATCCACAATGTTTGACAATTGCAGGACCTTAAAAAAATCTCATATTGCGTTTGTAGATATATAAACACCTAACATATGTATCTAAAACCTAAAGCCAATTAAACTATCCTATGTACCTGTCT